AAAAAAAGGTATTCGAAAATTATTTGGATTCAAAAATTAGGTATTATGAGATGATACATGTCCTACTCCTCACTATTGTTTCTTTTGGTTTAGGCTTCTCTTCTTCCTTGCTTGGAGTGCCATAATTAATGATTGGAGCAACAATTACTTTCGTTGCACCATCCAGCTGACCTTGAGGCAGCTGAACTCCGGCAAGTAGAGCAGCCAGTTTAATGAACGAAATATTTACCATGTCACCAGTTTTGGCTGAAACAAAATATGACTGAACATACAAAATTGAAGAAGGAGCAGAGGAATTCCTTTCAGTTTTGTTAGGAACTAAAGAACATACCTGCAATCCGTTGCGAGACGTCCACTCGTCGTGCATTTCTCGTTTTACCTTTCTCTCGTGACTGAGGTCACATTTATTTGCGAATACACAAATAAGAGGATCTTTAGGCTTGTCTGTTTTTCTTCGTCCTTCGTAGTTTTCAGAAAATATATGTTTCACATATTTCAACCATTCATTCAAATTTTGAAAGCTCTCCAAGTTTGTAATGTCATAGGTCAAGATGACCGCATCAGATCCGTAAATATAGCTGGCCAATATTTTGGATCCAAGAGCCTGTCCCTCTGAGATTATTAAAGTCAACAACAATGAGTTCACAGAAAATGTATTATTACCTACCAATGTCCCATATTTGAAACGTCACTTCAATTTTCTTTAACTTTCCTTTATCATCTTTATTGTCTGTTTTTTGTAATGGTCCATGGGCAACCATGGAAACGTTTTTGATGAACCAATCGACTCCTACAGTTCTCACGTAAGATTGTTGAAATTCGTCTTCTGTGAATCGTCTGATCGTTGATGTTTTTCCCACAGTTCCATCTTTGTTTTCCGATTTCGTTTCGGATCATCCCATTACTATTACTTCAACCTACCTCCAACAATGATGACTTTGTATTGATGTTTTTCTTCCTCTTCATCCTCGCTGTCTATTCCGTCATCATGTTTTGCAATATCCTCTAAAATCGTGAGCTCCTTCTCGAGAGGTTTGTTTAACGGATCTTGTAAAGACAAGCTCGAATGAGAGTTGGATCGAGCTGAAGCTACAGCGGAAGGGGATGTTGTTTGCATGTTTTTTAATCACGAAATGGCTTGTCGTAAAAATAAGCGGGCGCTTCAACGTGCGAACTCCTCGTGGCCTGTCAAGTTATAACGCC